GTCCTCAGCCCCGCTCCGCACGTACCCATCAGCCTGGCCTGAGGCTCCTCTCGCCGCGCAGCTCCTCCCGATGCCCTCACCTGCTTCCTCTGTCTCTGTTTTCTCACCTGGACCCCACTGATGCCCTGAGCTCCCCCAGCGCCTGTCCCACCCCGGAGCCTTTCCTGGCTGTCCCCACCCCACTGCTACCTTTGCTGCTCTCCAGCAGTTCCGTCTCACCTGCTTGAGGTGAGCAGGACAGCCCAGTTATCCCCCCTGTTTTACCGCCTTTGATGGGGACAGGCCAGTTCTCCCCCCAGTTTCACCTCCTCTGATGGGAACAGCCCAATTCTCCTCCCTGTTTTACCTCCTTTGATGGGGACAGGTCAGTGATCCCCCCAATTTCACCTCCTTTGATGGGCGTGCACAGAACCACAGCCGGGTTTGGACCCCAAAGCCCATCCCATCCCACCCCTCCATGGGCAGGGACACCTTCCACTGTCCCAGGCTGCTCCAGCCCTGCCTTGGGCACTTCCAGGGATGTTGGCTGTGCTCACGAGGCTGTAATTTCTACTTGGCCAAAAGCAGAACTAAATTTGGTGACGTTTTTCTGCAGAATAACGCCAGCTCTGGGCGGAAGCTGGCGGGAGCTCACCTCACCGTGATGAAGCACATCACCGTGATGAAGCACATCACCACGATGTGCCCCAGCAGCACCAGCCCAGACAGCAGGTGTGTGGTGTGGTGTGTGCTCCCAGCACGCCCCAGTGACTTTATTCACTTCAAACCATCTTAAAATAACCGGATCCCTTTGTTTCCCGTGCTCCCATCCCCTTTTCTGGGTTCCCTGCAGGGTGAGGGAGCTCGGGGATCTGCAGCGAGCACACGGAGCTGGGGTTAAAGGAAGCGTTTCCTTTATTTAGGATTTAACTGAAATCCCGAGGGATGCCTTGGCTCCAGCTCCACCTGCAGGGAAGGAGGTTTGTTCCTGCCAGCCCTCCGCTGATCCAGGGAGGGTTTCAGTCGCTCCTGGATGGGTGTGAGCGCAGAGAGAGCCAGGGAGAGGCAGAGCTGAGGGGTTACAGCCTTTCCTTGGGCTTTTCCTTTGGGCACGCACCGTTGCTCGTTTTTACATACAAAAACCCCACTGTAGTATCTGTTTCTCTGCTGCTTCCAGCCACGTGCTCACCCCTTTACGTCCTTTTATCTTATTTTGCCACTTGGTCTGTAAGATCTATGCAGTGACTCCGGGAGAACTGAAAGTATCCAAATATCTATAACATATATCTAATATATATTAAAATTTCTATATTCTATCGCCTATCCCTGCCATGCCAGGGGATGTGGAGGAGCAGCTCCTCTGCTTCCAGCCATGTTTGGCGTCCTGCGCTCACCCATTTACATCCTTTTACCTTATTTTGCCACTTTACATCCTTTTATCTTATTTTGCCCCGTCTTTAAGCTCTGTTCAGTGACTCCGGAAGAACCGAAAATATCTATATATCTATAATATATATCTAATATCTATCTATAACTGAAAATTTCCATATCCTGCCCTTATCCCCGCCATGCCAGGAACAGGGAGCTGTTGCAGGGGATGCAGAGGAGCAGCTCCACTGCTTCCAACCCTTGGTATCCTGTGCTCACCCCTTTGCATCCTTTTGTTTTGCCACTTTACACCCCTTTACATCCTTTTATCATATTTTGCCACCTAGTCTTTAAGCTCTGTTCAGTGAGTTTGGAAGAACTGAAAATATCTATAAATCTATATCTATATATCTATAACATACACCTAATATCTATGAAAATTTCTATATTCTGCCCCTTATCCCTGCCATGCCAGGGGATACAGAGGAGCAGCTCCACTGCTTCCAACCCTTGGTATGCTGTGCTCACCCCTTTACATCCTTTTATTTTGCCACTTTACACCCCTTTGAATCCTTCTATCTTATTTCGCCCCATCTTTAAGCTCTGTTCAGTGACTCCGGAAGAACCGAAAATATCTATATATCTATAACATATCTCTAATATCTATCTATAACTGAAAAATTCTATATTCTGCCACACCAGGAGCTGCTGCAGGGCATGCAGAGGAGCAGCCCCGCGGGTCCCTCGCACGTCTGGCGCCCTTTCCTGCCATCACCGGGGACCTT